TGATACTTGATACTTGATACTTGATACTTGATACTTGATACTTGATTCATGATACTTGATACTTGATACTTGATACTTGATACTTGATACTTGATACTTGATACTTGATACTTGATACTTGATACTTGATACTTGATACTTGATACTTTATACTTGATACTTGATACTTGATACTTGATACTTGATACTTGATACTTGATACTTGATACTTGATACTTGATACTTGATACTTGATACTTGATACTTGATACTTGATTGATACTTGATACTTGATACTTGATACTTGATACTTGATACTTGATACTTGATACTTGATACTTGATACTTGATACTTGATACTTGATACTTGATACTTGATACTTGATACTTGATACTTGATACTTGATACTTGATACTTGATACTTGATACTTGATACTTGATACTTGATACTTGATACTTGATACTTGATACTTGATACTTGATACTTGATACTTGATACTTGATACTTGATACTTGATACTTGATACTTGATACTTGATACTTGATACTTGATACTTGATACTTGATACTTGATACTTGATACTTGATACTTGATACTTGATACTTGATACTTGATACTTGATACTTGATACTTGATACTTGATACTTGATACTTGATACTTGATACTTGATACTTGATACTTGATACTTGATACTTGATACTTGATACTTGATACTTGATACTTGATACTTGATACTTGATACTTGATACTTGATACTTGATACTTGATACTTGATACTTGATACTTGATACTTGATACTTGATACTTGATACTTGATACTTGATACTTGATACTTGATACTTGATACTTGATACTTGATACTTGATACTTGATACTTGATACTTGATACTTGATACTTGATACTTGATACTTGATACTTGATACTTGATACTTACTTGATACTTGATACTTGATACTTGATACTTGATACTTGATACTTGATACTTGATACTTGATACTTGATACTTGATACTTGATACTTGATACTTGATACTTGATACTTGATACTTGATACTTGATACTTGATACTTGATACTTGATACTTGATACTTGATACTTGATACTTGATACTTGATACTTACTTGATACTTGATACTTGATACTTGATACTTGATACTTGATACTTGATACTTGATACTTGATACTTGATACTGATACTTGATACTTGATACTTGATACTTGATACTTGATACTTGATACTTGATACTTGATACTTGATACTTGATACTTGATACTTGATACTTGATACTTGATAATTGATACTTGATACTTGATACTTGATACTTGATACTTGATACTTGATACTTGATACTTGATACTTGATACTTGATACTTGATACTTGATACTTGATACTGATACTTGATACTTGATACTTGATACTTGATACTTGATACTTGATACTTGATACTTGATACTTGATACTTGATACTTGATACTAGGTTTCAAACTACTTACTTTATGAACGTTATGCTAAATGTATACCCTCAAAGGAGATTATGTTGAAAGTTTTGTTTTCAAATATTGTGCCAAGTAGATATCAATACCATCTCGTACCAAAAGTCACCAACTGTATGAAGGTATAGTACAGGCACACAAAATGCATTGCATTATGAAAACTCACCGGGAAACTTTTTTTTCATTTTGTAGAATTTTCTTCAAAAAAGAATGCCGAATTCGATATTATGGTGGATAATGCCTACTTCTGTATTGCTGCCACGAACTTTGGCCGCTCGCGCATAGGCCGGTGCTGTCGGAATTAAAACCCAATTAGTGTGATTTTTATTTGAGTCTATTGTAATTAAGAGGTCTTATTATTCGGTGGTAGTCGACGGTGGAGAACGGCGGTATACGTAACGGACGGAGTGACTCGGGCGCCACCAGACGATCTCGCGCCTGGACGATGTCGGCGGTAACGGACGGACGGTCGGTTTCGGTAGTCTCGGAAGTAGTCGCAGTCGAAGGTGATAAACCCAGGTGTTCGGCGATCAGGTCCAGCAAATGGCGGCGGTCTGGAACGCTAAAAAAGAATATGGCCTACCGGAAAATTTCGGAACGGGAGAAAATAATTAGGCACGCTTACAGCGGCGATTTTTATGGTAGGCAAAATCGGAAAAACGGATAAAAACAACTTTCCCCCCTATCTAATCACTTAACGGCAATTAGTAAAAACGGAATGCAAAAACTAAAGATTACTTACGGTACGCAAACTGGCAAACAAATACTGGCAGAAAGATTTACACACGCAAAACTGGCCAAAAGATCCTTCAAAAATTGAGAGTTTCGCTTATAAAGGAAACCCAATTTGGTGGAAGTGGAACAGGGAAAATCCAGCGCCCCGCCGTATTCGCACCGAGCGCAAAATAATTCGGTTTTTAATTAAATCTTAAAAATCTGGGGCAACTTACAAAAACTAGAAAAATTACAGCGCTTCCGTGGACATCTCTCTCGACGGTTTCTGACAAAGTTTACTACTGCCAACCATCTCCCTTGGACTTTTTCTTTTCAAACGGCTTAACACTCTTATCGCAACATGCAGGCATACGGTCTGGACTGCAGAACTTACTCGATTTGAACTTGTTCTATCCTTGATTTTACTTAAATATGGGAATCTAAAACATCTTATAAATAATTAACGGCGCTGAAACCAAAGAATTTTAATTGTCCCTCATCTTCGCCAGGACAACATCCTTCGGTGGTTACAAAAATAATTGCAAAACTCCAACAGGAGCGGTTGTAGGCGGACTAATTAATTACGGTATCTCCTTACCTATCACGGTCTTTTTGCGTAACGAAGCCCCAGACCAATCGTTATTATACTGGATGGTCCTCGTAAACGGCAAACTAAATTCGGAGTGCTTCGTTACATTGCTAATGGTATAGGTACACGTAACCGGTGTTCTACCATATTCCCTTTGTCGGTATCCACTTCCGATGTCCCGTTCCCTTCCAATGCGCGTTTGAAGAGTTGACTCCACCATCCGTTAGATCTTGTCGGGGGCTACCATATTCCCTTTGTCGGTATCCACTTCCGATGTCCCGTTCCCTTCCAATTCGCGTTTGAAGAGTTGACTCCACCATCCGTTAGCTCTTGTCGGGGCTACCATATTCCCTTTGTCGGTATCCACTTCTGATGTCCCGTTCCCTTCCAATGCGCGTTTGAAAATTGACTCCACCATCCGTTAGATCTTGTCGGGGGCTACCATATTCCCTATATCGGTATCCACTTCCGATGTTCCGTTCCCTTCCAATACGCGTTTGAAGAGTTGACTCCACCATCCGTTAGATCTTGTCGGGGGCTACCATATTCCCTTTGTCGGTATCCACTTCTGATGTCCCGTTCCCTTCCAATGCGCGTTTGAAGATTGACTCCACCATCCGTTAGATCTTGTCGGGGGCTACCATATTCCCTTTGTCGGTATCCACTTCTGATGTCCCGTTCCCTTCCAATGCGCGTTTGAAGATTTGACTCCACCATCCGTTAGATCTTGTCGGGGGCTACCATATTCCCTTTATCGGTATCCACTTCCGATGTCCCGTTCCCTTCCAATACGCGTTTGAAGAGTTGACTCCACCATCCGTTACATCTTGTCGGGGGCTACCATATTCCCTTTGTCGGTATCCACTTCCGATGTCCCGTTCCCTTCCAATGCGCGTTTGAAGAGTTGACTCCACCATCAGTAAAATCTCGTCGCGGGCTACAACATTCCCTTTGTTGGATCCCACTCCCGACGTTCCGTTCACCCACAATTCGCGTTTGAAGAGTTGACTCCACCATCCGTTAGATCTTGTCGGGGGCTACCACATTTCCTTTTTCGGTGCATACTTATATTACACCCACATTTTGGTGGATTTCGCTAAAAACCTTCCACAAGATAGTACTTAATTTTTGGGGCACTTCTCATTGCTCGAGCTTCTATTGGCGACACGAGAAAGAGAGATATAGCGATTCGCGATTTACGAAACGATAAACCGCGTGACAAAATTCGCAACGGAAGGTAAAATGCGTCCGAAGTTGACTACCTCTCGAAGACGCGCGGGCGCGCCTTGCAAAAGGTCATTAATATCGCCCCTAGGACAAAAAACAAAATTCCGCCACGCAGGAGTTGTGCGCGTTTACAACATCTTTCTGACGACACCAATTTGAAAAGAATCGGACCAAAACTGTAGTAGAAGATAGGAAAAAACTGAAAAACCTTCACGTTAGTAAACTACGCTCGAGGATGACGTCCAGATGTCGCCAACCTCACATTATGTAGCCATGTCCCTAAGGTTGACAAATTACACGGCCTGGTAGATACACGTACACCCGTTGCCTTTCTACAAGAGTTCTTCTACGCGCTCACATTTGTTGCCAGCCAGCCAGCCAGCCAAAGTGAGATTAAAAGCTACTTTTTACAAATAAATTTGCAAAAATGCGCTAAAAACAGCAATGTTAATTCGCCGTTCTTAAAGTGATCATTACCGCTCTAAAGTAACACATGTACAAGAATGTGTACCTACCTTACCGTTCAAGTTTCAACTGAGATGGTCCCACTCCCACAAGCCCACAAGCTGATGACACACCTTCCAAGGGACACCCAATATTCAATCCCTTTGTAGTGGACCGATTGCGTAGGGGTTGAGAGAAATAACTTGAAAAAAGTGAAAAGTTTAAACTCCGATAAGGCAATATTATTTTATTACCATTTCTTTGGTCTCCTCGTGTTTGGACTTCATTAGCTCAAGGAAAAGGGGTCCGTTAGGTGGGTACTGTAACGTGTGAGTGTATATCCCATTGAAATTGAGTTGAGTGCGAAGAGGCATAAATCACCAAGCACTCACAACTAAAATCAGTAATTGTTGTCTCCATTTGCACAAGAAACTACAAGGAAGATCTTGAACCTACGAGAAGTTTCATCAAAAATATACTTAGGCAGAACCTGCGACTTCCCTTAGCCACGTGGTCCACTCATTGAGAAAGGTTTGCAGCGTGCCATCATTCCAACATTCCAAAGAATAAAGCTTCGCAATTCGCCCTGATCGAGAGCTCGTCGTATTGCACTCGCCTGCCTCATCCAGAATCTTCATAATACTGTGTAATCGAAGAGATTAAAATGCCGACCTCATAATGTCGTTATCCCGTTATACATACATTTTACCATTAAATCCTTAAACTCCGATCTCCAGATATGATAAAGAATCCACCTGCAAAATTTCATCGTAATCGGTCCTTTCGTTTTCGAGATATCGTGCTAACCGACAGACGGACAGACATTGCAAAATTATGAACTCGCTAGGAGCTCGCTAATAATTCTAACTTAACCTTCTATTTCGTTGGAATTAAGACCATTGAGACGATTCCAGAATGAAAAGTTAGTAGGAAATTGTTTTCCACCGATATAGGAGAAAAATTGAAAAGATACTCACCGAAATAATGGTTCAGTAATTGATAATATTAATAAAGACAACCGCGATGCAGCGTTCGATACTGTCGACGAAGTAATAAATCTAAAATGCGGCTTTGGGTATAACAGTCCACTCTAATTGCACTGTTTCGTCACCTATCAGTCGCTAACCTTTAGCCTTGAATGAACACTCATATAGTATCTGAATATGAAATAGGAAATATTTCTAATGTTACCTAAAAGAATGACACATCCTTGCCTGCGAAATCTCTAATTGAAGCTTAACACGTATCACCCTTTTAATTAAAGGTGCACAAATTCTTAAAAAATGGCCTGTTAAGCAAAGCTTGTCCACAATTTTAACGCCCCCAGGTCTCTTCGTTCAATTATAAAATTCTACATCAGAGAACAAATTTCTGCTTCCAAACCTTTTCTATTTCAAGCAAAAGAAAATATGTACGCTTTTACATTTCGTACGACTTCTTGTCGGCCGAAAAACTAAAAAATTACATAAGCTAGTAAATAGTAAATATAATATCTTCTTCCATAGGATCATTAACAGCAAACTTCAAAATTGAATCAAAAAGAAGGTTGTGTTTGGCGCTCAAAAATTGGTTATGTACCAAACTGTGCCTATTATGTACATACAGTAACCTACGTACATTACACATACATTGCAGTGCGTAACTGTACTTATAAGAGATTAACGTTTAAGGAGGCATAATTTTGCATTTGAGAAAAATCGTAAGCTTAGACTGAACGAGTTCTTCAAATAAAGAAAGGTTAAAAAGTAAGTTCTTACGTGTAGATCATCCCTAAAACCGAGAATTAAAGCTGGTGGAAATATTTCACTTTGGGTGAACAAAGAAGTAATCTCATCCCCTTTTCAAAAATTATATAATTAATTTAACAACAAGAAATGGAAACTTCTCCATTCCTAAGTAACTGTAAGTGCAACATCCCCTTATAAATTTTAACGCCACACTAGGTGTGATAAATCTCGACGGTGTATCCATTACATTCAATTGATATTTTCACTAAATTATGGAGACCAACAAAAAATCCGAAGGGTGTTTCCCCAGGGACAAATTTTTTCAAATGTTTTGGATTGTTTTCGTCAAAATATCCAATTTGTATAGCCAAATCCAAATAAAACGACGGAAACTAAAATTTCCTGACATAAAGTAGGCATGAAACTGAAGGTTTCATGGTGAATTTAGGTAAAATTTTTATGAAGGTTCAAGCTGCGCACATTTATTCGAAAATAGGATATCTTGTTAAAAACTTTCCGAACTTTTTGGATATGTCGTGCAAAAATTTGGAGTTTTTCTCTAAACAATTTTGAAATCTTGTCGCGCCACCGACAAGATATCCAAATCCCAATTTTGTTGAATATTTTGTCACTTCATTTGGATTTATTTGGATAATTTGACGATTTTAGAAAATTTGTCCCTGAAAAGTCGATCCCTCAATTATGCCCAAAAAAATAATTACTTGCATCTTATGAAACTACAAAATCACAACTGAGTAACTAAATTTCTGAACAAGACTAAGCAGCAACAGGGCACCATTTGAGGACGACAGGAGAGCCCCCCCACTTTTCAAAAAAATAATCATAATACGCAGGAACTTATAGTAAAAATGTAATGTATACCGCATAAACCGTATCTGTTTAGTATAACACATCCCTATGTAAATGTACACTAGTTTGTAGGTACAGTAATAGAGAAAAGTAATGATCGCCGAATAGGTAAACCTTGCAGTATAGGCAACCAAGGTGGGTACTTCACTTGATTCGATTTCCAAGTTACGCATCAAACGTATTAATAATACGGTATAAACGGAGCAACTCGAGGGCCACCATGGCGAAATCTCGGAAACTGTGAGAGATAGGTAGGTAGTTAGTTTAAATTTGGAAAAGTTGCGTATTTTGATGCTTTACAAAATGCCGTTTTGAAACTGAAAAAATGTCAACTACTTTCGGATATATCCTAAACAAAATTAAGGATCAGATAGTGTGAAACCAATAGAGAAGTGATAACATTAAAAAATAAATAAATAGAAAACTAATTTTACTCCTACCCTTAAGTAATTAAAAATTTCAGTCAAATTTGGTAAACAACACCTTCTTCTTGAAATTTCCATGTCACTTTGGCCAAATCTTTCATGCCTGTTGCCATAGATTTATCACAATAATTTATCCTCATACAAATACTAAGGACAGATACGCGTTTTTAAGAGAGCAGGTGCTAATTTTATATTTTCCGAGTTTCAATTAAGAAGAAAGTTGGAAAATAAAAAACAGAAATGTTAATTCACCGTTCATAAAGTGTTCATTCATTACCGCTCTAATGTAACACATGTACAAAAATGTGCACCTACCTTACCGTTCAAGTTTTAACTAAGATGGCCCCACATGTAATAAGCTGATGATACACCATCCAAGGAACACCCAATATTCAATCCCTTTGTAGTGGACCGATTGCGTAGGGGTTGAGAGAAAGAACTTGAAAAAAGTGAAAAGTTTAAACTCCAATAAGGCAATATTATTTTATTACCATTTCTTTGGTCTCCACGTGTTTGGTCCGCTAGGTGGGTACTGTAATGTGTGAGTGTATGTCCCATTGAAATTGCTTAAGGATCCGTTGAGTTCGAAGGGGAACAGGAACACCATTCTACTTTTTATTTCCATTTTCATTCATTTAGCTCCCAGGTTGAATCATTTTCACTAGGACAAATTTTTTCCTTTATAACGATATATAACTTGCTAAACGTACCTACTGGCATTGAATTTATGATAGTTATAAATGCAATGCTACTGGCTACTTTAATAAATCGACCATTGTGAATCAGCTGCACCTCATTATTTTAGTATTTAACTAGATTATAACAATTAAATGCAAGATTAACAAAATAAAAGCAATTCAATGTAAAATATAAAAAACTTCGTTAAAACATTTTTGGTATGGAATTGTTGCTAGATCAGATATCGCATTACCTTTCGCCATAGAGGAAATACAATACCTCTACGCTTTCACTGAATTTCCAGACTTATACGTCGTTTAAGAAATTCAGTTGAACGACCCTGTTTAGATTTCTCAAAAATTTTCCGTCATGTATCCTTAAAAAATGACTTAGCTGACGGACCCCAGGCTCCAAATGTCTCTACACCGAAAGGGCAGGAAATGAATCGATCAGTAAGTTCAGAGTATTTTTTTAGTTGCATTTCCTAAATAAGTACTTCTCCCTCACTGCAGATACTCGTTTCCCCCTATACTCGAAATACCCCCAGGAATCTTCTCTTTTCAGGTATCACTGCAATCCTACCTCTTAAAATGTTTCTCCCTTTAGTGTTGTCGTTTAAATGTTTTCAAATACAACCATTAATTAATTGGAACAACATATTCGACTGACAAATTAAAAATAAATTGGGGGTGCAATATTAAGTTTGAGGTTTACCCTGGGGTTTACCTATTATAATTGTAGTACCTAGGACATGGATAAATAAAATCTCACCCATCAATTTCTAGAGAACACGAAGGCACTAGTATTATATAGATTAGATATTCACTCTTTCATAAAAATCAAACAACCAACGTGAAAATTGTAACATTACACTGATAAAGAGTTCAGGGTTAAATTCCAGTATTCATACCTGCGAAGCCCAAAAGAGCAATTTTAGTTCGGAAATTGTTTCTTAGTAAACAGTTCAAAATCAAAGTACTTCTTGGGAAGTGCATACCCCCTTATACTGTATAGGTATAGGTACATATAAATCATCTGAGTGATTATATAATTGTCATTAGTCAGAACTTCAAATTGAGGTATCAATATTTAAAAAGTAGGCCCGGAGGAAAATTGGAAATAGTTTCCTCCTAAATTATTTTTTATGTTGGTGACCGTTTGAATTTTCAAAGCCGATATGTCGCCAAAAAGCATTATATTCTAACATTTTGCCGAAAGTTAAGTTTTACATACTTTTTTACGACAAATACGGCCATAAATTTCGGATTAACATGCACAAAAATCTGTACCCGGGATGTATCCAGTTGTTTTCCAAATTTCCCTTTTAACTACCCTTAAATAGTTGCAGAGTTTCCAGAAAATTACGATATTAAACCAGAGTTGAACAGTTTAATAGTTAATTTGGAGTTACATCTGATTAGTAAGTACCTAATTTATGAATAATTAAAAATCTCACCTATACTCAAGCTCTTTCTAGAAAATAAAGGGCACTTGTAGATGCACACACTTTCGTATCCTTCTAACAACTAACGTGGAATTGTAATATTACCTACAATAGATAACATAATTGAGGGTCAACCGGACTGGACTGTTACGTATTGCTATTAATCATACCTGCAAAAAGGAGTAAAGTTCGATTACCTGAACTACAATTTTATAAACAAAATATTGTTTCCTTCTACCCCACGCATTAAAAATGCACATTATTAACAAGCGACAAAACTCGTTCGTTAATTTTTGACTTTTTGTCCGCCCGTCTGTGTACATGATAACTCGCGAACGGTTTCCAATTTTCCAACTCTGTTTCCAGCAATAGGTAGACAAACCCCTGATAATTTTTACGAAATACATATTTAGAAGAACGTTAGTGGCTGTACGGATGGGCACTGCGGCAGATATTTTATTAGGCGCGTAGCTAAATAGGGGGAATTTTCTGGGTCAGTCGACTACTTTATTATGCCTTATCGTGAAAATGTACGGTAGGGTAGAGTGGTGTATTGTATATCGTTACTTAATTGTAGCATCGATTCACTGGTAAAAGTTTGATTGCTAAATACATTTTCAATATCTTTAAAACACACTAAAAAGCATATTTTTAAAAATCCACCGAAATTCGTGGCCAATGTGCACATGGAAGTGGAAAATTCAGTTTTGAATATCAATAACGATTCTGACATTTTATAAATCATGATTCAGGCGATATTAAAAAGAAGTAGAAACGTCCTCATTGTCAAAATGGGGAGCATATTTCACTTTCTAAAACGTCATTGCAGCTAGCGGGGTGGGTAAAACCTGGACCAGGACCCAGACTTGGTTGGTATAAAAGCCGGACTCGCACCCGAACTAAGCCATGGTCAGGGATCACTTTTATGGATTTTTTGTAGTGATCCTTTATAGTTTTATTATTTTCCGACCGCTCGTTCGTGTGAGCAATACTCTTTTTAACAGCGGCCGCAGAAAATGCAATATTTCGGAGAATTTCTCTAAAAGGATTCTTCTTGTATTATATAGCATATACATTTTGAAAGTATGTCAGGCGGCGTTTAACTCTACCACTCTACCAAGAAACATCGATAAATATAGCATAATGTCAACTGTTCTCTAACAATTTGAAAATGCAAGGGTTCATTCAAAAATTCGTATCTCTTAAACTAATAACTCAATAACTACCCGATATAGGCATACAGAATGATAATAAAAGTGGCCCTAAAATTTACCTATACATTCATTTCTGGCAACAGAAATAGTAGTTGCAAATTGCAATTTGAAAAACTAAAGTTTTGCCATTTTTTGATTGATAACTTTGAAAAATCGCAGCAGCTCGGGAAACTTTTTCAAGACTTTCGGCGGCCACTCAAAAAATTCCATATATTAGACTTTAAGGAATTCAGTATTAAATAGGACGATCACTTCTGTTAAACGGTTTTAAGAGATATGAATTTCTGAATGGACCCATGCATCTTCAAATTTTTCGATAAAAATTGACATATGTTAAAAACTATAACAGATAGGTAGGTACTTAAATTTTAATTGCGATCAATTCAGAATGAACTAACGCATTTAGAAGAAAATAGAAAATGCTGTTTCTATTAAAAAAATTTTTTTTTAGAAAAATCGCTTTAAAAGTTTAACGGAAGTAATTAAAAATTTCAGTCAACTTTGGTCACCAACGCCTTCTTCTTGAAATTTCCATGCCACTTTGGCCAAATCTTTCATGCTTGTTTCGATAGATTTAACACAATAATTAATCCTCATGCAAATACTATAATGGACAGATACGCGTTTTTAAGAGAGCAGGTGCTAATTTTATATTTTCCGAGTTTCATTCAAGAAGAAAGTTGGAAAATAAAAAACAGCAATGTTAATTTGCGGTTCATAAAGTGTTCATTACTGCCACTGCTACATGTAGTAGAGTTGATGACACACTATCCAAGGGACACCAAATATTCAACCTCTTTGTAGTGGACCCATTGCGTAGGGGTTGAGAGAAATAACTTGAAAAAAGTGAAAAGTTTAAACTCCGATAAGGCAATTATTTTATTACCATTTCTTTGGTCTCCTCGTGTTTGGTCCGCTTTGGTACTGTAAGGTGTGTATGTATGTCCCATTGAAATTGCTTAAGGATCCGTTGAGTGTGAAAGGGCACAAATCACCAAGGACTCACAACTAGAATCACAAGAAACTTTTCTCAAAAAAACGTTTTCCATAACCTCACGATTATTGAATTCCCCGTCCGAATGGATTTCAAGAAATGTCCTCGATCAATATTGTAATGGTCAAAAAATGCTAAAACGGTATCCATTCCATTCCAGGACTCTCCAAGTGAGCTGGACATTTTTTCTTCGCTAACTGTAGATTACAAGGAAGATCTTGAACCTGCGAGACATTTCATCAAAAATATACTTAAGCAGAACCTGCCACTTTCCTTAGCCACGTGGTCCACTCATTCAGCAAGGTACCTATGCACCGTGACATCATTCCAACATTCCAACGAATACAGCTTCACAATTCTCTCTGAGCTAGAGCGCGTTGTATTAGACTCGCCATTGGAATTGCGTCCATGGCTAAAACTATGCTCATTTTGAGTTCCATGCAATTCCGTGCATACCTAACGGAGATGTCAAAAGGGCCTTCCTTATTTTTTGGCCTACATTGCCAATTCATGAACTCCAATTTACAGATACGATAAAAAATCGGCCTGCAAAATTTCATCGTAATCGGTCCATTCGTTTTCGAGATATCGTGCTAACGGACAGACCGACAGGAATTGCAAAATTATGAACTCGCTAATAATTGTAAGTACTAGCAATTTATTTCAGTTTTTAAACGAAATAGTGATGAATATCAGAAACAAAGTAATATTTTGCTAAGAATTGAACAAACTCCCAATTTCGTATTGTAATAATCATATGACATTGAAATGTTTAAGATATTGGTTAAGGGATTGAAATGTAAAAAGATTCGATAGACTTTTGAGTTTTCTAGTAGATACAAGATTTATCAAGAGGTGCACATTTTAGTTCGGAAAGGGAGAGCCCGTATATGTCGTTAAATAGATGCGCTGCGTTTCACCGTTTCCCAAAACAAATTGTATACCTAGATAAAAAGCGAACGTATTTCAATCTCAACCTTCTATTTCGTTGGAATTAAGACTATTGAGACGATTCCAGAATGAAAAGTTAGTAGGAAATTGTTTTCCACCGATATAAGAGAAGAATTGAAAGATACTCACCGAAATAATAGTTCAGTAATTGAAAATATTAATAAAGACAACCGCGATGCAGCGTTCGATACGGTCGACGAAGTAATAAATCTAAAATGCGGCTTTAGGTATAACAGTCCACTCTAATTGCACTGTTTCGTCACCTATCAGTCGCTTACCTTTAGCCTCGAATGAACACTCATAGTATCTGAATATGAAATGGGAAATATTTCTAATGTTATACCTAAAAGAATGGACACATCCTTGCCGGGACCGACAAGAAATCCAAATTCCAACTTTTTAGGGACAAATCCAAATAAAGCGACAAAATATCCAACCAATTTGGAAACTCCGATTTGGATATCTTGTCGGTGGCGCGACAAGATATCCAAATTTTTTACCAATTTGGAAACTCCGATTTGGATATCTTGTCGGTGGCGCGACAAGATATCCAAATATCGAATTTTTTTTAGACAAGAAATCCAAATTTTTTGGACAAAATATCCAAAAAGTTCGGAAATTTGTTGACAAGATATCCAAATTTTATTCAAGCCCTTTAATCACGTATGAACCTTGTGCAGTGCGAAACATTTCAGTTTCAGTGTTAAAGCACGCCATAGCATTTAGTATGTTTTCATACAGCGTCAAAGAATTAGTGCCTACCTAGTAATAAATGAGTTACACCAGCAAAATGAACAACGACGAAATAAACATCTTTGATGCAGCTCCTATAAGAGTCCTATAAGATATAGCCAGACCTGCACTGTATGGTCTAAGGATATAGCTGAAAACAACTGCTGTTAAAAACGTATAGGTAATGATCAAAAACACGAAAAAGCGGCGTACCTTTATCTATTCGAAAATTGGATATCTTGACGAAAACAATCCAAATTATTTGGATAATTTGTCCCTAAAAAGTTGGAATTTGGATTTCTTGTCGGTCCCATCCTTGCCTGCGTAATGCTTATTTGAAGCGTACACTTATCACCCCTTTAATTAAAGGTGCACAAATTCTTAAAAAAATGGCCTACTAAGCAAAGCTTGTCAACAATTTTAACGCCCCCAGATCTCTTCGTTCAATTATAAAATTCTCATGCCTAATATCAGAGAAAAAATGTCTGCTTCTATTTCAAACAAAAGAAATTCGCTTTTACATTTCGTACGCATTCTTGTTGGGCCGAAAAACAAAAAAATTACATAAGCTATTAAATAGTAAATATGATATCTTCTTCTAATGGATCATTAACAGCAAACTTCAAAATTGTATCAAAAAGAAGGTTGTGTTTGGCGCTCAAAAATTGGTTATGTACCAAACTGTGCGTATTATGTACATACAGTAACCTACGTACATTACACATACATTGCAGTGCCTTTAATGTAAAAATGTTAGTCAACTTTAGTAACCAACGTCTTCTTGAGATTTCCATGCCGCTTTGGCTCAATCTTTTATGTTTGTTGGAATAGATTTAACGGTAACACAATAATGAATACTCATACAAATACTTACTACACGCGTTTTTAAGAGAGCAAGTGGGAATTTTATATTTTCTGAGTTTCATTTAGGAAGGAAGTTGGAAAATAAAAAACAGCAATGTTAATTCGCCGTTCATAAAGTGATTATTACCGCTCTAAAGTAACACATGTACAAGAATGTGTACCTACCTTACTGTTCAAGTTTCAACTGTGATGGTTCCACTCCCACAGCTGATGACACACCTTCCAAGGGACACCCAATATTCAATCCCTTTGTAGTGGACAGATTGCGTAGGGGTTGAGATAAATAACTTGAAAAAAGTGAAAAGTTTAAACTCCGATAAGGCAATATTATTTTATTACCATTTCTTTGGTCTCCTCGTGTTTGGACTTCATTAGCTCAAGGAAAAGGGGTCCGTTAGGTGGGTACTGTACTGTAACGTGTGAGTGTATATCCCATTGAAATTGAGTTGAGTGCGAAGGGGTACAAATCACCAGGCACTCACAAGTAAAATCAGTAATTGTTGTCTCCATTTGCACAAGAAACTGTAGATTACAAGGAAGATCTTGAACCTACGAGAAATTTCATCAAACATATACTTAGGCAGAACCTGCGACTTTCCTTAGCCACGTGGTCCACTCATTGAGCAAGGTATGCAGCGGGCCATCATTCCAACATTCCAACGAATACAGCTTCGCAATTCACCCTGAGCGAGAGCTCGTCGTATTGCACTCGCCTGTCTCAATCAGAGTCTTCATAATACTGTGTAATCGAAGAGATTAAAATGCCGACCTCATAATGTCGTTAAATCCTTAAACTCCGATCTCCAGATATGATAAAGAATCCACCTGCAAAATGTCATCGTAATCGGTCCTTTCGTTTTCAGAGATCGTGCTAACCGACAGACGGACAGACATTGCAAAATTATGAACTCGCTAGGAGCTCGCTAATAATTCTAACTTAACCTTCTATTTCGTTGGAATTAAGACCATTGAGACGATTCCAGAATGAAAAGTTAGTAGGAAATTGTTTTCCACCGATATAAGAGAAAAATTGAAAGATACTCACCGAAATAATGGTTCAGTAATTGAAAATATTAATAAAGACAACCGCGATGCAGCGTTCGATACGGTCGACGAAGTAATAAATCTAAAATGCGGCTTTAGGTATAACAGTCCACTCTAATTGCACTGTTTCGTCACCTATCAGTCGCTAACCTTTAGCCTTGAATGAACACTCATATAGTATCTGAATATGAAATGGGAAATATTTCTAATGTTACCTAAAAGAATGACACATCCTTGCCTGCGTAATCCCTACTTGAAGCGTACACTTATCACCCTTTTTAATTAAAGTTGCACACATTCTTAAAAAATGGCCTATTAAGCAAAGCTTGTCCACAAATTTAACGCCCCCAGGTCTCTTCGTTCAATTATAAAATTCTCATGCCTAACATCAGAGAAAAAATGTCTGCTTCCAAACCTTTTCTATGTCAAGCAACAGAAAATATGTACGCTTTTACATTTCGTACGACTTCTTGTTGGGTCGAAAAACTAAAAAATTACATAAGCTAGTAAAAGTAAATATGATATCTTCTTCTAATGGATCATTAACAGCAAACTTTAAAATTGAATAAAAAAAAGGTTGTGTTTGGCGATCAAAAATTGGTTATGTACCAAACTGTGCGTATTATGTACATGCAGTAACCTACGTACATTACACATATATTGCAGTTCGTTTAATTTATATATAAGAGATTAACGTTTAAGGAGGAATAATATTGAATTTTAGAAAAATCGTAAGCTTAGACTGAACGAGTTCTTCAAATATAGAAAGGTTAAAATGAAAGTTCTTACGTGTAGATCATCCCTAAAACCAAGAATTAAAGCTGGTGGAAATATTTCACTTTGGGTGAACATAAAAGTAATCTCATCCTCTTTTCAAAAATTATATAATTAAATAAAGATTTGTGAGGACTGTGATTTTTATGGTTTCCTTATTTGATTTGATCGGTTACATTATTAGTAATTTCTTCACGAAACACGGTCATTGAATGTAGGTGGTAAGTACCGCAAAAAAAATCCGGTTAAAAATGGTTACATGTAAGTACACTATAGTAAAGTGATAGGCAAATGTGTCCGAGAGTCCGGATTTTCGGATTTCGTTCATCTACGAGGGAGATGTACTGACAGAAAAAAGAATTCAAAAACCTGTATCCATTGTAGACATGCCGTGGTTCCAAACACACAGACATACCGAACGTTTTTATTTACTTACATTTTCAAAACTAATATATAACAACAAGAAATGGAAACTTCTCCATTCCTAAGTAACTGTAAGTTCAACATCCCCTTATAAATTTTAACGCCACACTAGGTGTGATAAATCTCGACGGTGTATCCATTACATTCAATTGATATTTTCACTAAATTATGGAGGCCAACAAAAAATTTAAAGGGTGTTTCCCCAGGGACAAATTTTCCAAATGTTTTGGATTGTTTTCGTCAAAATTTCCAATTTGTATAGCCAAATCCAAATAAAACGACGGAAACTAAAATTTCCTGACATAAAGTAGGCATGAAACTGAAGGTTTCATGGTGAATTTAGGTAAAATTTTTATAAAGGTTCAAGCTGCGCACATTTATTCGAAAATAGCATATCTTGTTAAAAACTTTCCGAACTTTTTGGATATGTCGTGCAAAAATTTGGAGTTTTTCTCTAAACAATTTTGAAATCTTGTCGCGCCACCGAGGGCCACCATGGGCCAATCTCGGAAACTGTATAAGAGATAGGTAGGTAAGTTTAAATTTGGAAAAGTTGCGTATTTTGATGCTTTACAAAATGCCGTTTTGAAACTGAAAAAATGTGAACTACTTTGGGATATATCCTAAACAAAATTAAGGATCAGATAGTGTGAAACCAATAGAGAACTGATAACATAATTAAAAAATAAATAAATAGAAAACTAATTTTACTCCTACCCTTAAGTAGGTAATTAAAAATTTCAGTCAACTTTGGTAAACAACGCCTTCTTCTTGAAATTTCCATGCCACTTTGGCCAAATCTTTCATGCTAGTTGCCATGGATTTATCACAATAACTAATCCTCATACAAATACTAAGGACAGATACGCGTTTTTAAGAGAACAGGTGGTAATTTTATATTTTCCGAGTTTCAATTCAGAAGAAACTTGGAAAATAAAAAACAGCAATATTAATTCACCATTCATAAAGTGTTCATTACCGCTCAAATGTAACACATGTACAAAAATGTGACCTACCTTACCGTTCAAGTTTCCCACATGTAATAAGCTGATGACACACCATCCAAGGGACACCCAATAATCAATCCCTTTGTGGTGGACTGATTGCGTAGGGGTTGAGAGAAATAACTTGAAAAAAGTGAAAAGTTTAAACTCCGATAAGGCAATATTATTTTATTACCATTTCTTTGGTCTCCACGTGTTTGGTCCGCTAGGTGGGTACTGTAATGTGTGAGTGTATGTCCCATTGAAATTGCTTAAGGATCCGTTGAGTTCCAAGGGGCACAAATGACCAGGCACTCACAACAATTGGTGTCTCCATTTGCACAAGAAACTTTTCTCAAAAAAACGTTTTCCATAACCTCACGATTATTGAATTCCCTGTCCGAATGGATTTCAAGAAATGTTCTCGATTAATATTGTAGTGGTCAAAAAACGCCAAAACTGCATCCATTCGAGGACTCTCCCAGTGACTTGGACATTTTTTCTTCACCAACTGTAGATTACAAGGAAGATCTGGAACTTACGAGAAATTTCATCAAAAATATACTTAAGCAGAACCTGCGACTTTCCTTAGCCACGTGGTCCACTCATTGAGCAAGGTACCTGTGTACCGGGCTATCATTCCAACGAATACATTCACTCTGAGCGAGAGCTCGTTGTACTAGAGTCACTATTTGACTAGCGTCCATTGCTAAAACTATGCTTATTTTGAGTTCCATGCAATTCGGTTCATAACTAACGGAGATGTCAAGAGGAAAGATGGCAAAGGAAAAGGAATTATCTTCAATGAGGAAACTACATCTAGTGAAAAGTGTTAAAATATTATTCAGTTTTTTAATCGCATAACGTATTTTCCGTGCCAAATCAGGAACACCATTCTACTTTTTATTTCCATTTTCATTCATTTAGTTTCCCAGGTTGAATCATTTTCACTAGGACAAATTTTTCCCTTTATAACGACATAAGACTTGCTAAACGTACCTACTGGCATTGAATTTATGATAGTTATAAATGCAATGCTACTGGCTACTTTAATAAATCGACCATTGTGAACCAGCTGCACCTCATTATTTTAGTATTTAACTAGATTATAACAATTAAATGCAAGATTAACAAAATAAAAGAAATTCAATGTAAAATATAAAAAACTTCGTTAAAACATTTTTGGTATGGAATTGTTGCTAGAACAGATATCGCATTACCTTTCGCCATAGAGGAAATACAATACCTCTCACTGAATTTCCAGACTTATACGTTGTTTAAGAAATTCAGTTGAACGACTCTGTTTAGATTTTTCAAAAATTTTCCGTCATGTATCCTTAAAAAATGACTTAGCTGACGGACCCCAAGCTCCAAATGTCTCTACACCAAAAGGGCAGGAAATGAATCGATCAGTAAGTTCACAGTATTTTTTTAGTTGCATTTCCTAAATAAGTACTTCCGAGAGTACTTCTCCCTCACAGATACTCGTTTCCCCCTATACTTAAATTACAGTAAGTATTCATACCTGCGAAGCCCAAAAGAGCAATTTTAGTTCGGAAATTGTTTCGTAGTAAACAGTTCAAAATCAAAATTGTTTCCTATGCATCCTGCCTTTAGTTTTTGTATAGTGAGTACTTCTTGGGAAGTGCATATCCCCTTATACTGTATAGGTATAGGTACATATAAATCATCTGAGTGATTATATAATTGTCATTAGTCAGAACTTCAAATTGAGGTATCAATATTTAAAAAGTAGGCCCGGAGGAAATTTCCCTAAGGCAAAATTGTAAATAATTTCCTCCTAAATTATTTTCAAAGCCGATATGTCGCCAAAAAGCATTATTCTAACATTTTGCCGAAAGTTAAGTTTTACATACATTTTACGGCAAATGCGGCCATAAATTTCGGATTAACATGAAAAAAAATCTGTACCCGGGATGTATCCAGTTGTTCCTTTTAACTACCCTTAAATAGTTGCAGAGTTTCCAGAAAATTACGATATTAAACCAGAGTTGAATAGTTTAATGGTTAATTTGGAGTTACATCTGATTAGTAAGTACCTAATTTATGAATAATTAAAAAGCTCACCTATACTCAAGCTCTTTCTAGAAAATAGAGGGCACTTGTAGATGCACACACTTTCGTATCCTTCTAACAACTAACGTGGAATTGTAATATTACCTACAATAGATAACATAATTGAGGGTCAACCGGACTGGACTGTTACGTATTGCTATTAATCATACCTGCAAATACTAAGGAGTAAAGTTTGATTACCTGAACTACAATTTTATAAACAAAATATTGTTTCCTTCTACCGCACGCATTAAAAAATGCACATTATTAACAAGCGACAAAACTCGTTCGTTAATTTTTGACTTTCTGTCCGCCCGTCTGTGTACATGATAACTCGCGAACGGTTTCGAATTTTCCAATTCTGTTTTCAGCAATAGGTAGACAAACCCCTGATAATTTTTACGAAATACATATTTAGAAGAACGTTAGTGGCTTTACGGATGGGCACTGCGGCAGATATTTTATTAGGCGCGTAGCTAAATAGGGGGAATCTTCTAGGTCAGTTGACTACTTTATTATGCCTTATCGTGAAAATGTACGGTAGGGTAGAGTGGTGTATTGTATATTGTTACTTAATTGTAGCATCGATTCACTGGTAAAAGTTTGATTACTAAATACATTTTCGAATTTCTTTAAAACAAGTAAAAAGTGTAGGAAAAATCACTTCTGAGGCATCCTTTTGGATGTCAGTATTATCGTTGAATAAGTAAGATTACTTATTCAATGGTATTATGTTTTTCATCGCCCAAGGAAAACAGATTAATCTTTCAGTGACTCAGGAGCTCCTGTCCGTCCGTGTGACTGTAACAAATATAGCAAAGGAGCTTCTAGCTCACTGAAAATTTAATCAGTTCTTCTTTGGGTGATGATAAACATAATACTCGTCAAAATAATAAAAAATTCAAATATATGCATGGCCTAAAAGCCGTCGTTTTCGTTATACCGGGTGACAAAGAAAATGCAACAACCTATATATTGCGACCCACTATTTGAATACTTTATTGTAGAGATTCTAAAAAATAATTGATCTACCAAATTTGAAACAATTATCCCAGAACATGAGAGAGAAAACGCAAAATACGAGAGCAAAATTGAAACTTTGCCACCCTGTATAAAAAAATGGTGTCCTTTAGACCACGCACATGTTTGCATTTTTTTCTTATTTTGACAAGTGCTACCACCTCCTGAAATATCTGCATTCTGCGTGACATTAATTGACAACATGTATTTTTTAGCGCATATTCCAACTCGTGTTGGAAGGCGCTTTTATGGTCACTTTCTACGTCCGTCTGTCCGTCCGAGGTCTTAACTACTTCTACAGTTTTCAATATGTAGTTAGTTCTTTTTGCATTCGGTAGCTAATAGCTTTGGCACCTCAACCAAGAGAAATCTTGACGATTAATGTGGGTATTCGATGAGTTTCTAAAAGTTTCAAGAGACTAGTTTTCTATTAATTGGTTTTTGGGTCTTAAATACGCTTTGGAGTGTAAAAAGACGAGGCTTTAAAAATTATATAGATCTTAAAAAATGTTTGGGTCTTTGAACATATTTCGGAGTCGTAATTAGTCCTCAGAAACGCATCCAGTTTTTGCTTTACTTTGTTTTTTGTGGCGTCCCTAAGACACCGCAAAGATTTTAAGAGCGTTCTTCCAGACAGTCAACAAAAAGTACGCCATATTTTTGGGCAATTAGGGGAGGGCATTTTTATGAGTTTTTAAAAGTTAGTTTTTATGGGTTTCAAGGGAATTCAAGAACTGTTCTAATGCCGTTCAGATCTGTTGATTTCTCAGGCAACTAGAAGATTATGCTGTTCCACTTACAAACTGAACGGTTTCGTCGATTAACAGGACTTATAATTATTGTGAAAAGGCAGTTAGTGGGGAAGATATTAGTAAGTGACCACAGCAGTCGGATAGGATACCACCTTGCGGTTAGGTATGCAACTACAAAGATTTTATTTTTATTGTTAAGTGAGTGCAACCCAACCCATAAACAACGCCGACACTAACCAGGAGTGAAACCACGAACCCTCTTGGTCGTAGCTTCAGTAAAGACCAAGCTGAAACTGAAGAGATATACATTACACTAACAAATAAACATTTATTGCATTTAAATATACAACATTCTTTGTTCAACTGCAACGTAAAGTATGTGATAACAGATTCTATAAATGTTAAAGGCATAGGTACTCGTCGCACTTTACCCCCGAAAAAATGGTTTCAAACGTAATAAATCTAATGCAACAGTTTGAATTAGGATTAATGGCCATTTTGACTTATACTTGCAGAACAGTAGATATTATTTGTGACACAAACAAATAGTAGATACACATAACAATAAGCATGCTTTCAATTACTAAATTAAAGTGGTGTGCACATATCACCAGGAATATGAAGGTATACATATGTAAGCACAATGGAAACAGGAAAATCAATACCAGAGCGATTGTCAGTTGTAGAAAAATATTTTTAACACGATATGTTTTAAATATTAACAGTAGCAACCAACATTAATTTTTAAAATAAAGTTTCTTGAGACCACGAGCCTTCTTTCTTTAATGTACTTGATGACGACGTACGTTCTGCTAAGGGTAAAGTCGGTAACGTGACAGTGGACCCGTAACCGCTACCAATTAATGTCAGGGAATCTAGGGACTTATCGGATGGAAGAGGATAAGGAGGTCTGTCCGATGGAGTTAACAAATTGCTACCTACACTCGGGCCTCTTTCTCTGATAAAGGGCGTTTTTTCGCTACAATTTAAATCATGTTCGCTAACACTTATTCTAAACTCATTAACAGCAAAGTCATCACCGTTACTTGCAAAATGACTTGTCGATGGTTTGATCTCATAGTCACTATGCTCACTAATAACAGGAATATTCTCGCTGATACAAGGGATGCTTACCCTTCGATTTTTAAAGCTCGATTTTCTACTACGCTTGAGGCTTCGTTTCGAATCGCGTCTGCACCAAGCGTATTCGACACCGTCGCTAGCTTCACTATCGGTAGAAAACGGGTCCACTTCATCCTCCGTGTCTGGACACTCATCCTCGTGGAACACCGAATCCGAGTCTAACGAACGCATTTCCAAATCCGGATAGTCCGCGACGAGAGAACTATTGCAACTACTAATCGACGCGAGCGGCGCTCGTCTCGCCTCGGGATTTTTAATTTGAACATGGTCGTAAAGCGCCCTTTCACTTCCGCACGGAGAACCGCCCGGTGTCGGCTGAATTACCCTGATATCAATTGGATAGTAAAAGTCGTACTGTTCTGGAAGAGGTGAAGATTGGCGTCTACACTGACTTGTTTTGTGCGCTGGAACCGCAGGAAGACCTAAAATGACCGACGAACCTCTTCGCTCTAAATACGAACTATCTGAAGATGAACACGTTATGTTGCTGGATCTTCGTGGTACATCTAAATATCTGAAAAAATCAATCATTCAAGATTATGGTTCGACACAAGTGGTGTGTTGTCCATCCACTAGACTTTTGCATCTAGTGTTATGGGCGAACGCAAAATAAGTATAAAGAGAACCTATTAAATGTGGATAGATCTTCCAATTCGTCTTCATCTGGTGGAGAATCTTCGTCTATAAAACAAGGAAGGCGCGAAGGTGTGTATATGGGCGGTTCCGTCAGGCCACTGTAACCGATCGCCGAATATCTTCTCGCGTTACGCAACCATCCGGCGGCCGGCGAATTCGTGATGTCCAAGGACCTTCTGGCACCTCTCGAGTTCATATCGTGCAGTACAGTCGCTTCGATGACCGCTTGGATTTGTCGCTGCTCCTCCTCTTCGGCCTCGGCCACGGCCGCCGCTGCCAGTTTCGGATCTTCCAGCGCCTTTTCCGTTTTCGATTTTGATTTATAAACGACCAATATCACCATCAGACCAAAAAATCCGCCCAGCGTTGCTGCGATTCGTATTCCCGTCATTGCGTCGTACGTGTCATAAAAATCGATCTTGATCTGTTCGCGATCGCTGATTGTTGTTGAAAGTGGTGATGTTGTTGAGGGCTCTACGCTACTGTTAGCCACTCCAAGCGAGGCGTTGTGCCCCGTCGACATTACGACTTCGACACACCTGTAAGAATATGGACATTAGTGCATTCCATCCGAAACATTTTTTATTTTCTTTATTTTGCTTTGTGGACGGATTTCAGTTAACCATTTCCAAATATCCATGCCCAAATCCGGATTCGGACCAGACTCTCTGTTGTAAATGGTCCATGATTTATAATTATTATCAAGTGAAAAATAAGTCTGACAGTCATATTCTGAATAATAAAATCCTATCATTCCAATTAATATCGTTATTAATTAAAGCAGAGGGTTTGAACTTCGAAAATCTATTTTTAACATTGGCGACCGTGATAGGATCCGGGGATGATTTTTAACGAAGTCCCGTTCAGCGGTACGTAGGGCGTTCACAAGGATCGGAAATGACTGGGATGATAGAAGTAGAATCACCAGACATTAATACCATTCGTTCCACTTTAGAGCTATTTCGTGAAAAAGCTGAACCTCTACCACATGGCAATTAATTCAGACTGGATGTTGGATTCTGGCATTACAGAAGATCAGTTAGATACGGAAATAGCATGTGAAGTATGAGTTACTTTTAAGAGCTTGAATCTTCGAGTCCGTGAAGTGAGCTGGCCATGAAAAGCACAAACAACGGATTTAAGTTTAATCGTTTGTGCTTCGTTTGTGCTCGTTTGTGCCGTATAACAAAAGTCAGCAAAACCACACATACAAAAATTATGGGCAATTCAAAATGGTCAGCTGACTTCACGCACGAAATTAAAGCACAAACGATGGGTTTAATTGCAATCGTTTGTGCTTCGTTTGTGCTCGTTTGTGCCGTATAACAAAAGTCAGCAAAACCAACCATACAAAAATTATGGGCAATTCAAAATGGTCAGCTGACTTCACGGACGAAAATGAAAGCGCAAACGGGGGCTTCAGGTTCAATTGTTTGAGTTTAGTTTTTGCCGGTATGTCCGATATAATAAGTCTTTAAGAGAACCTGCAATACCTACACAATTATAGATATAATGCATGCACAAAATTGCAGAACACCTAACATAAGATGCACGAATTCAAACAGCTGTAGATTTAACCATAGTGTAAAGACTTACTTGTTTAACGTGTCTAAGTAATTGTACATAATATGTAACTGTATGTAAAGTTTTATGATAAAATACATTCATATTTACACATATCATGTAATGCTAATATTTTACAAAACAAAACAATATTTTGCTTTTCCATTAAATAGTGTTAACGATTTATAGAAGTGTAGGTAATAAGAAGTATTGGGGTTATGCTTATATTTTCCAAAGGCTGTGCTAAAATGTTCTAATTATTACGATTCTGATAGAGATTTATAATATACGTACCGTCAAATAGTTAAAGTTAATAAGTTGAAACAATACTGCTAAAATTGTTTAAATTTTTAAACTTATTTAATATATAGTCACAATTTACTGCTAGTCATATATATTAATCTTTTCATTTCAGACTTTTACTACATTAGATATGCCAAAATTTTACCACTATTGTTTCAACTTATTAGCTTTAACTATTTGACGGTACTTATATTATAAATCTATAAAACATTTTACCACACCCTGATGATGGCCATAGGCCGAAATCGGTAGCTTTAGAAAATATAATCATAACGCCAAGTTTGATTTCTTATTACCTACACTACACTCCTATAATAAAGAAATAAATTCAAAAAAATATGGAAAACTTTATAAAGAAAAGATGTTAACGATTTCCGACTTAAGGTGGCGCTTACGAAAAGTACAAAAGTACACTTTCGATTTCCTCAATAACAGATTTGTAGAATCGGAGTTCGTGAATTGTCAATGTAGGTAAAAAAAATAAAGAAGACTTGCATGAAATTCAATATGCGCATGGCTTTAGCCATATAAAACGCAATTCCAAAAGTTGAGCCTAATCGATCAGCATTCACAGTGCCCTTTGCGCATCTCGACCATTTACAAACCGAATTGCAAACTTTCTTATTTATGGAGGTATTTAAATGAAATTTTATACATAGCCACTTGGAATAAAAGCAAATGTAGCGCCAGTTTCCAAATTTGGTTTTGCACATACTATACCTAGTCATACCCAGGACCTCGTTTTCGATATTTTGTTTACACGTTTCTTTATTTTTCAAAATAGCTTAGAGTGTGGAACAAACAATTAAAATTATTTAAAAAAACGTTATTAGGATTCTCCGTAGCCTTTACAGCAACCACATTTATCAGTTCATTTGATATCTTTCTTAGTTAAAAAAAATAATACTCAGGCATTGTACGTTTTCCAAGATGTGGCGACCTTTCCAAAGACGATCAGAAATTGAGTATTGTTTTGTCAGATTCTTAGGTCAGTATGGGTTGTGCATAAGGGGGTTGTTGGTCTGGTGGGTTACTTTAAAAATCAGCCATTTGATATTTAAAGAAACAGTATTTTTTATTTTTTTGATCTCTTTAATAAAAAAAAAGTTTTTAAAGGTCCGCCTTATTGTATATTAAACAGCGGTTATTAATTAGAATGCATTGTTGAAGTTATATTCAATTACTTTTTTATTTTCAAATTTGTTCAAGGGCTATTATACAAAACTAGAAGGCGGAAGCACTATTACAAACATTTGAAAAAAAAATTAATTCGAATAGAGTATAGGGACCCTAACGAAACGTTTCCGACTCTCAGGTTATTTTTTTTTATGTAGTAGATATACATACCTACAAGATGTACACGTTAATTGATTTTAAAATCTTCGTTATTAAATAAATGTTATCATATTATATTACGTATAATAAAACGAGGTAGCGTGATTATGATGATCACAATGATAACACTATTAAGAAAATAATTACCGATCTAATAATATTGAAATATAAGAATGAACGTTATCGCACTACTTATTTCAAAACTTCTGAACGAATACCATGCAAGTTTAGTGGTGAGAAGAAAAACTGTAAAAGCTGGCGTCGACTAGAATCGACGAGTCAACTAGAATGGAATTGCAAAAATAAAAATTAAATTTTAGAATTTTTACATCAAATTCATGTGTTGGCCATTGAGATAATGCTATTAATTTTGTTTCCAATGATCTTGGTACATGATAAGAATAACCATTTTCACATGTTTTGATCAAAATCCATGTGGCATCAGAAAAATAATTTAACATCTTTGAATCACACACATGCGGTTATCAAATGTGCACGTGATGTACTCTTTCAGCACCACGATAATGCGTTTGAAAGCTTTTTTAACTCCACATTCATGTGTAAAGAATAATTTTGGGTACATTTTGTTCTAATATTGAATTATTACACTTCTAAGAGGCATAGGGAATAATCTAGCGAAAGTCCGAACTCGATATAAGTATAACCTAGGGAATGAAGTATGTTGATTTCTATTATATTGAACCCGCAGTTTTTCCTGTTTCCGCTTCACTCGAAGTCCGATAACTGTTGTTCCTGTTGAACCAGCTTTAAGAAAACCAATAGCGTCCATCCTTAATGTCCAAAGTACCCGTACACCACGGACAACAATAAAAAACTATAAAGCTGAGGAGGCTGAGGATTATAAGTTTCTATTTTCATTTTGTTTATCCTTTGAAATTTCCTGTAATAGGCTTTGCTGTTGGAAATAAATTATTATTATTATTTTTTTTATTATTATCCTTAATAATGCAACAATTTTGACAGTGGAAGGTGGAGTATTTATTGAAGATGGATGGTTACTCAAACTGACAGATATACACATTGAAATTTAATTAAAATACTCAAGATTAAGGACACAATTGTTAAAAAATTGTGTGTATGGTTGGTTTTGCTGACTTTTGTTATACGGCACAAACGAGCACAAACGAAGCACAAACGATTGCAATTAAACCCGTCGTTTGTGCTTTAATTTCGTGCGTGAAGTCAGCTGACCATTTTGAATTGTCCATAATTTTTGGATGGTTGGTTTTGCTGACTTACTTTATACGGCACAAACGAGCACAAACGAAGCACAAACGATTAAACCTAAATCCGTTGTTTGTGCTTTTCATGGTCAGCTCACTTCACGGACCCTGAATCTTCAATGTGAAGAACTAGTATCTTCTCCTGTAGTTTATACTAACTAAGCTCAAAGCTTTCGTAGTTAAACAGGTAGTACCAAAGGGATCTTTCGTAGAATCAAGCTACCTACTAATGGGGATATACGTACGAGAATTGGTTGTCATTTTTGAGTCAATTGCATAAGATACATGAAGACAATAAACTCACTATAAAGATAAATTTTAATATTTGATTCAGGCAATGTCTTCAGGTCCTCGTGCTACTAAATTGTTAAATAGCTTTCCTCCCACGAATGACAGTCTAAGCATTTTTTCCGAATCAAAATATCGCCCTCCCTAATTTATATGACCGTATTAAGGGCATTAAGTACTCTTGAAGTGACAACTGATACATGCTCTAGTATACCCTTTAGTGGAATCTTGTTGGCCAGAATATTTCTTAAGAACTTGGCAACGGTCATCTCAGTTTTCGGGTAATGCTGGTGGAACATTAATGTGTTTTATAAGGTCTGAGGTGCGAAATGATGAAAACATTAATTTAACTGTTGAAGCGGGTCTAGTCTATTTTCTGTAAACACTCTTGCAAAATGATTTTTTTGCGAAAAAGAAAATGCTAGTCATGATTCAAGCTCGGAAAATGGTACTGCCGGAAAAACAACATATTTTAAGTAATAAAAGCTTTTCGTGTATAAAATTAGGACATAGCAGTAAAAGATGTCGTCAAAGACTAAAATGCATCATTTCTAATAGTAAGCACTCATGCAGGGCCGTAGTCAGAGGGGGGCAAGAGAGAACTTGGAACCCACTTTGCTCGCTCTTGAAAATTTCTTAATATGACGCAATACAGCATGAAAAAGAAAAAAGGAGAAAGGTGCTTGGTATTCGGAATTATGTCACCTATTAAAATGGGACAATTTAACATTTGTGTATAAATTATTTGCTCTGTATAGGGTGGCCAAATTTGATGTTAGTATAAGTCAGTGGTTCCCAACCTTTTA